AATCCTTAAAGGCCTTATCCTTCAAGGAAACTTAATTGCTACCCAAGATTTCTTTATATTTCTCTCTCTCTCTCTCTACAACAAAATTATATTTTTAATCTCCACCTTTGATTATTTGCGCAAAACTCATTTATAATCCATCAGGCTAGCATTCTATGCACTTTAAAAAAATGAGTTTCGATTTTACGAAGCAGTATAGAAGGAGGCGCTCGACGAACACGTCATTTGAACAATAGAGTAGATAATGTAAAGAGCGCTTTTTACAACAAAAAAAAGTTGTTTGTTATGTAGTATATATGCGCTCGATATTATAAAAGTCAGCTTACAGACGTGTGCGTAGAGCCATGAACAATGTGCGAGGTAAACAATGACTTGGACCGTGAAAAAGCACGGATGCTTAATGCCATCGTGGCTATACGTGTCACTGGTTACTTGAAAATCAATACTTGCCCGACTGTTTTTCATGTTACCCTTTTCACCCGTTAACCTGAATACCTTCAAGAGATTGTTATAGAAATGTAAACATTCGTCGAGGCTCCAGGAATTGAAAATGATTTTCTTTTTCCAATTAAATATATGCTTTTTGATATTCAGCGGATGTTCTGAAGAATATCGAAACTTGTAAATACGATGTATGAAAAGCTGAGCAAAATATGAATTCGCTATTGTTTAGTGGCGTTTCAAAGAATCTGATAATTCGTTTTCATTTTCTCGATGAATCGAACAGAACGTCAACGAAATTGTTGTGCGTCAAACAAATCCCGAAAGTTATTTCCACGTTTCTTTCTGTTTAAATGGAGATTTTAATTGGTTCACAGTTAACACGATGGTTCGTTATATTCTGAATCCATTTCGCGTCAGACATCTCGTTGAAGCACGATGTTTTTCATGAATTACACTTGCTTCTAAATCAATCGTGCTTTCATCATGGTTATTTGCAATACTAAAATAATCTTCGTAACGGAACAGTTAACTCTTTATTCCTTTAAAGATACTAATCTATCGGAATCAAGCTATCTGGAATGGATAGGTTTGCCTTTCTGCACTGATGGATTACCATGGCGTGTAAAACAATTACCGTGCAGAAATTCCGCAGGTTCTCGGTGACATTAGGACAGATTAGAAGCGTGTTTGGAATCAATTGTTGGCCACAATTCACGGTGGCCAAGTTGCAAGTCTCCGTTAGATGTAACGACCGAAACCATGTAATTCTGTCACGCTCGTGACTCTGAATACCTTCGGCCGATCATACGGGCTGCTTAATTGCTCCTCCTGCTATCCGATGTAATTGGTGTGGAATCATGAACGCAGGAAGGCGCGGAAGGAAGCGCTGATGAACGACGGTTCATCAGCCCGCTTAGCTTCCGTTTTCGTTGGTCAGTTGAAAACAATCCACCACAAACGTGACATGAAAACAGTGCTTTCCGTTCGATTCTTCGATTTGGCAGCGAACCAAATGCACGGTGAACGTTAATCAGTTTGACACTTTTGTCGAATCAGTCTCCCCTTTTTACACCATAGTATAAAACGATAGAATAGAATTAATTAATAAAACTAATCAAAGGTTTTATAAATATTTTAGTGTTCTAAATTGTGAAATTGTAATATTGTAGTAAGAAGTTCTATCGAATTTTAGCAATTAATCCTTTCCCAGAGAAACTGTTCTATGGCAGATCGGATTAATAATTGTTATTAGCGAAGCAATCAGCAAATTTCGATGTCTTACCAGGCGAGTGTCTAACATTCCTTTGATCGTTCGCGAAAGCAATCCGGATTGTTCTGCGAATATCCCGCTGACGGGAAATCGGATTCCGAAACATCATCGATATATATCGATGACCGCGTTGCACATCGAACCCTTTCTCGAATTTCGAAGCACGCCGACAATTCGACTCGACTGGCCTCGTTATTAAACGTACACGTATGTACCATGGGCTTGGCTACGCATCGTTTCCCGATCGAAAGTACAATTTTACACAGAATTTCCACGGTCAGCTGGAAAATCGACTCGTGGCCACATTTACCGGCCGAATTTCCGGTAAATGTTTTACGATCAGATCGAAATCATCTATTTTAACGCAGATTCGCTCAACTTTCTCAAATTCGAATTAAATTATCATAGTTTTCTTGGAAATTTCGCTACGAGTACGATACTTTTGTTGATCCACGATCGTTCGAGGAAAAATTGAGCGGTTATCGAACGCCACGAAATCAATTGTCAGCCGCAATTTCCTGCTAGCAACTCCGTTAAACAATTAAGACTGGGTAGATACTATTCAGGAGAACGTCGCGGTTACGTCGTGTTCGTAAGGTCCTCTTAATTACTCGCCCTTAGTCTTCTCGTGCAATCGGAATGAAACTTTACCGTGTAATGCAACGTGACACGATTACAATTCACTGTACTTCCTCTGACAAATGGAATCGTGTTTGAACTTGATCTTGAGAACTGGTTAGTTTCTTGAAAAATACCTAGCAGTCATTTTTAATTAAATGATAAAATATCATTTTATCATTTATCATCAAGTGCATCCTTTATTCAGACAACGTACATTACTACGTCAAGATCGTATTTCCATAATCATTTACTGGCTGACGTTTGAATATGAAACGTGCGTAATGATTCTGCGTAGATAATGCACGGCTTAAATCGTGCATTCTGCAAATACTAGTAAATTGGTTTGGACGAGGGGTAAATCTGAGGATCGGTAATTCAGCCTTTCTCTAATGGAACCTAATCTGCACTCGCCACGTGCGTTTAATCCTCCGCTGACAACCCCGATGATCCTTGATATTGTTGCGACGCGACGGCGAGAAATTCCCGCTCTTTCGACGCATCGACCGCTTCTTGATGTATCGAAAGGGCCATCGACTGCCCCGTTCGAAGCTGTCGACGAATCACGACAAGAAGCTATTTCTTGTTTCGAGCGGAAACACATCACCGGATGTTTGAGGTCTCTTAGACAACCGCGCGTTTTTCGAATTCTAGAATGTCTCGGGAAGCCGACGTGTACAGACCTATTGTACAGAACTCTTGAAATATAAACAGTTTAGATTGCTCCTCGTTATCTTAATTTGCTATGGAAAGTGCGAGCTCCACTTCCCGGCGCAACAATATAATGAATCTGAGCATCTGAAAATACATAAGCTATCGAAAAATAACCAGTGAAAATTTGTCACGAGGAGTTTTCATCCAGTTATATTTCAGTAACTAGATGCAACAGTTTACTCTTAATGGTGATGGTTTAATTAGGAGGCTCGAGTTCGCGGTCGCCTTTCGATGGCGAATCATAATTTATGAACGTGCCGAGAAAGCTCTTCCTAGATGACGAGGATCAGAGCGATTTGCCCACCTCGAGAACCTTCACGGTTGAATAAGTCAACGTCGAATTCGCGTCCTGTTTTTCAACCACCTTTCATCCTCGCGAACGGCAATCCGTCACCGACGACAGCACGCTCGGGAAAGAGTGAGAAAGAGTGCGACAAATCTTCGAAGAAGGGAAGCGAACGGGGAGATTTCACGAGGCAACCTAGACACGAAATAATCCTTGCGTGATGAATCCTCTTGTCCTTTAATCCGTTCCTGTCAATCACCGCGGATAAAACTTCATTATCGGATAATAATACCGAAATAGATGGATTCTCGTCGCCCGTAACGTGGCGCGAGACAAGAACGGTTCGACGTGTATAAATATCCTCGAACGGTTCATGAAAATGGCCCGGTGAATTTACGGGTTTAACCTGCTCGATTATCGGTAATTTGTTTTTATACCCTACCGTTTAACGGCCGGTGTCGTATTTTCCTGCTGACGCAACGTAATTCGATTTTTCACCTAGCTGAAAATTGTATTACCCTATCGAGCTTAAGAATAATGGCGTAAAAATATTTATCGTAGGTACTGTATTAGCTACTGAACAAAAATATCGTCTATATCAAAGGTATCGGAAGTTGAAGCGTACTCGAATCTAACAGCTTTTCAAAATCAATTTTCTTTCTATGAAGATTCCATTACACTTTCCGTTCACTTTTCCCCAAGAAACCCGTTTTGTCCATTTGTATCATCATTTCAGTCACATTCTATGAAAATCTTTGAAAGTAAATTCCAGCGATTTTCGATCAAAGTAGACCGGTAGAAAATGCAAGATCGTGTCGTTGTTCCATCCAGTTGGCCAATTTCACCCCCTTCAGACCTTGGGGGTGCTGTTCAATTTCGTGCATTGAACGAGAAAAGTAGGTCGTGACGCGACAAGCTTGCCTTCTCAGAGCTTGTAAAAACTTATAAGCACGTGCTTGAGATATATAGTTGCGGAAAATCCGGCTGCGGGGAATTTATACGACTTTATTCGTCGAAGTTATGCATCAGGGAAGCGTTGTTCGCGGCCATCGCTGCGGGGAGTAAAACTCGGGATATGCCGCACTGCATAATTCTCTCGTAAAAATGGAGCCCGAAACGATGCTTTTGCTCGTTTTACGGCCTTTCTAGTGATAATTCTGAAAGCTCAACCCACGGTGATCCTGTTGCCTAGCCGGACGAAATCCACTTTAGTCGGGGCCCCTCTTTTTTCCTCTTGTTGCAATTAACGTCGTTACAGTTGCCGTCTACCGTTTGTCTGCAATATAAGTTGCCCGAACTTCTCTACGAAAGGGTACATCAAACGGTTGTACAATAGTCTCGGTTTTATTATCCGAAGGAGATCATCTCCTCTTCAATTCTCGACTTAAACTGTATATTAAACTAACGATACTCTGTAAACTGAATATTACCGTGGAAAATATTTCTGATGATTTGAAAATGGTACAAAAGAATGAATTCTAACATATTGATAACCATATCTATTTTTTTTTTGTTCCAGGTACGTATATAGAAGAATAGGATGATTGGGATCTTGAATGCGAATGTGGTGAGATGACGAAGCACGTAACAAAAGCTCAGCTAATACTCTGTAAAGGAATATAGAATACAAATAAATCGATCACTATATTATTTCTTTTTTTTTTTCAGTCTCACTTTGTACTTTCATAGAGGATCCAGCGCGTTCTGCGATCAGTGGACCGATTTGGCTTATTCGTTTTGTTGTTGAAATTCGAGAAATTGATAGTTGCAAAAATTCTGAACGTCGTATGATAAATGGTTTCGTGTTATTCCATCGTTGGTCGGTAATAAATGAACGGTTAGATAACATGATTAACGCGTGTCGCGTAATGAATGCATCGATTGCAGTGAATACTGGCATTTGCACGAGGAAGATTGTAATCCGATTACGATTGATGAAGCAATTTTTGATCTTCTTTCCACTTTTTTTTTCCTTTGCACACGTGTACACTTGTATAGAGATGATTGGTTCGATCGTTCACCAAGTGGATGCCGAACACGTAGATGATTTGAATCACGTGCGAATATCGAGTAGCATTGTTCGTCAAGTATTTATTGGATTGTTGTAAACGTCGTGTGCATCTCGATACACGACGCTCATGTTGATGGAATAAATAAAACGAAAGTTCAACGTACACATAGCATTGTGACTCTCATGCCTCTAATTTCCGTAATTAACATTGTAGTTACTTTTGAAGAATATTTGAAAAAATTACAGGCTCGTTAGAGCTTCAATATTTTGTATAATTTAAAAAAAATAATAAATGAGAGATCGTAAAATTTTATAAATTCAAAGATTCGATAGGCTGGATCTCTGATTTTGTAATACTTTATTACAATATTTCTGGCCTAGAAACTGATTCGATAGTAAACTACGAATTCTCGTGTCCCCCTAGATTCACAGTTGATTACATCGATTTTTGTTGAAAGATTTCCAAGTTTCTCTCTGCTGCAGATAGCGTTACAACATTGGCAAAATATCAAAAACCTCTTGGTAAAAAAAAAAAATATTCTTTTTTGATATCACATGGAACTGGAAAATATCCTCGCCATAAATTCAATGCACGTTTTTAACACTTGGCAACGGATCATTCGATCCTTTGTTCCTTCGTTTATTTCTCGTGCACGTAACATTTTTCTGTCACGGAAGAAACGGCACTAAAAGTTAATTAACATTTTACACGCTAGGTAAGTTCAATTATTTTTATTATTTAACGGCTGCTTTGTTCGCGACAAAACCTTCTGTGTAATCCATCAACGTGATGTCGCGACATTTCAGCATTCTAATGCAAATATTTGCAAGGCACTTTGAACTTGCGCTTGCACCACTCGTTTATTTTCAACTTAAAACACGTCTTTTTTTTTTCAAAAAATAAGACGAGAAAGAAACGAGAAAGTGTATTTTTCAAGGATCTCCTTCGACCTCGATTTTTTATTAAAAGAGAAAAAGTGTTCAAAAGAGTTCATATTTTTCTATAAACTTGTTTTTGCGAAACGTGGATACCGTTTTATTAACTATTTCGATTTTTATTCCCTGTGTTATACGAGCAATATATATTTTTCACCAGCTTTACGTGACTTTCTTTTAATATTTCGAACGGCGCAAGGGATACAGGGGTGGTTTCTGTTGACTTTGGACACGACAAATAATCGAACGAACATGACTCTGCGCACGAATTCATTTTCACCATAGCGTGACGTCAGAACGCATGGTGATACCTTAAAACGCATTTCAAATAACCCAGGTGTGTTAAATACGGACGCTTTCAAATATTGACGAACGATGTTTCGTTTCGTCACGTTTCGTACACACGAATAAAATTCTCGTAAAAAAGTTTACGAGTTTCGAATTGACAATGTTTCTATATTTAGGATTTCTTCTATGAAACACTTGAATTTTCGTTTCAACGATTCAACGAAGGAAAGCAAAATTTCGCCATATTTTTATAGAAAAGATTGAAAAGAGTAGCGAAGAGTGGTAACAAAGTGGGAGGGTGAGTTTATTCGATCCATAGGCATCGTACAAAAGACGTGCATCGTAGACGGGTGGTTTTAGGTGAAGCGGAAGGGTGGCGAAGGATGCAGAAAATAGGAAAATGTTCGGACCTTTCGTGGCGGCACCCTGCGCGTTGCTTGGATAAATAGAGCGAACACGCGAACCGTGAGGACGGTGGAAAATCATGTGGAAAACCGAGTCTTGGGGTAGAATAGAAGGAACGCGACTGGAAAAGGGGGATGAACAAAAAAAAAAAAAATGAGTGGGAGGATAAAGACAGAGGGTTCTCCGGCAAATTTGATAGCTCGAAATGGAAGCATTACTCTGACTCTGGTTGGAGAGCTGATCCGCTGCTTGTATCGATATTGATTATCCATCTTCGTTCGACGTACTCGATGACTTCCGGATACCCCATTCGTTTTAGCCATCTTGTTCCTCGTAAAGGGAAAAAGGACGTAAATCAGTGAGACAATTGGCTTAGGGATCTTCTTTTGTAGCCGATTTTTTTATGTTCAAACTTGATTCTTCTGATACGATTTTTTTTTACTGATTTAGTGTAATTTGTACAATTACTTTGTTAAGCAATTTATAGAAAATACAAACTGAGTATCATTAGGAAACTTAACGAATGATAAAAGATTAAAGGGAAGTCGATCGGATGTCTCTGTGCTCGTTAAAATTGAATTACCATTAAGACGACTTAACCATTCAATTTTCTCTTCTCAAAAAGAAACTTCAGATTTAGTTCGTCGAAGCATTATTATCAATTTGATATAATGAATGAATATCTGGGTGAAAGACAGTTTTAACCGAACTCGTTCGTCACAATACTGACAATGAGCGAAGGGTTTTTATTTTTAGGTAAACCTTTCTCAAGCGGGGAAAAATAATTAACAATCTGAAAATGCAATAAATTTTCATCGCTATTCGTCGGTGAACGCGTGATTTCTATCGAGAGCATGCTTTCCCTTCAATTTAGATTAATATTCGTTAATCGAAGCGAGACACAAGGACACTTCGCTCTCGTATAATAACGATTCCTCCAATTAAATTCACTCTCATCAATTTTTTGTCCCATATTTTGCAAGTTCAGCAATTTCGAGTGAACACTCTTCTAACGATACAAATGATAAAGAATTTAGTTGATCGTAACAATTGACAATATAAGAAACTATAATTTTTTCTATGTTGCGATCAAGTAATAAAGTCACGAGGAGTTTCCGGGTAATGAGCTGGATATTCGCGAAAATCTCCACCGATTGGTGAATTTTTCCCGTGTGCCGGGGATATTGTTAAAGGGCGGCGCGAACGAGCATGGAGAACGGAATAATCAAGGGCTGGTTCTCGAGGGCGCGGAGTGCGATCGTTCCGCAACACGCTACGCGAAGGGGAGCAAATTGAAGCGAAAATCGCCGCAAGATAAATCACGCGGAAGAATTTCCTGGAAAAATGGATATTTCTGATCGGAGTTTATATCGACCGAGTGCTGTTCTCATCCGCCTTCCTGTCGTGTTCTCGGAACGCTTGCGTGCGAGGAATATTTTCCGTGCAAACGAACGCTCGCGTTTCGCTCGTATTTGCGCTGCCGAACGAGCGGATTCCGCCTACGCGGACTCGAAACGCAGGTCAACACTGAATTTGACGGGATGGAATCGAGGATTCTCGATTAACTTAATCGAGCACCGCGTTTGTTTTCACAGTTTAATTTTTCTCGATTATTTGGATCAGATTCATTTTCGCGTATCGAGCAACAAAATTTATAATTAATTTCCTTGTACACCGGCTTCGATCAAATCCACAACGGAGATTCGATGTTTAATCAGATTTTAATAAAAGCAGTTAAACCGCACGAATTTTTCGGACTTTCTATTAAATATTTGCGAAGCGTACGTCAATTGCCTGTTATTGAAATTCAATGTTGCTATTAATTTAGGGCGCCGAGAAAATTTACTGTCGAATTTTAGGAACATTCATCGAAACAAATAAAAAGAGTACAATGATCATTAATTATAAAATTTTATCAATTACTGCTTTGTAACGAAGTGTCTGGTAAGAAATAAATGGATGGGTGAACAATTTGGAACAAGGCGAATGAAATATTTCATCAGGATCATCCTGTGTAAAAGATAAACAAATTTGTTTCGAAATATCACGGATTTAATGTGCTGAAGAGATTTATATTCTACTTCAACTTGGCTGTTCCACTCGTAAAACTCGTCGTCGTTCCATTCATTGATTAATTCTTTTCGAATCATAAATTCAAGAGTTTGAAAATAACAAAATCACTAGTAAAACAGTAGTAAATCAGAAGAGTTTCATGGAATCGCGAATACGAAACGAGTCAACGCAAATACAATTTCATGGTAACGGTATTGAAGAAAAGCATTGTAGAGGTTTCTCGAATCGATGTTGAAATAAAGAAAAGAAGGGAAGAAAAGTAAAAAACAGAGGGTAACTGTGGGAGTATTTTTCCGGGAACGCAGCGTGAATCCGCGTGCGTCTTTCAAATCGCGCAACAGCGTTCCATTGCGATTTGAAGGAAACCGGATGTGACACGGCACGTGACGCTGGTCGAAAAGAGCTACGAGGGTGGAAAAAAACGTTTCGCGACCTCGTTTCGTCTCTGCGACCCTTTCTCTATTGCTGTACCGTGATACGTGCCTTGAATTACACGAACAGGACGCATTGTGACGTGTTTCGTCACTCTGGGTCTCGCCTGCGCACTCAAACCGATTCGAGGAACTCGAAGAAACAAAAGTGCAAACTATCGGGGCCGTTTGCTCTCTATTGTCGTCACGTGTGGAGAACGCGTTCTCCTATTCCTCTTTCAATGTTCGCTTCACTGAATTTTAAAGTACGATCCACCAATTCAATTTTACAAGCTCTGGGAAGTTTGTGTCAAAGTCGTATCAATCTCCTAATTAATATTATTTATATTAATTCAACTAAGAATTTTAATAATTCTGTTTTCCTTGTGTGTGATTAATATTACTTAAAGAATTTGGAAATTAAAGATTGAGAAACTTGTATTGTTTAAAAGTCTTTTCTATCGTTGACCTAGATAAAATTATTATCCATCTATGCACTGGTATAATTTTGGGTTAAGAATTAGTAATTCGAATTTTTCACCTAACCGTAAATAAAAACTATGAAATGACGGAGAAAAGTTATAGAAATAATTGAAAAGAAAAATCAATTTCTGCCTCGATTTTTGCTGTGATAAGTTGTGGAATGAGAAAGTACGTAATAACTGTGGCGATAAATAGCAGTGCAGTGGCTAAGTCGCTGGACAGAAGTAATTAAAGGCCTGCTAGCTTCTGGTCTGACCAAAGTTGTTCCGTAACTACTAGCCCGGTGTGTAATGCCGCATGGCTGACTTTAAAGCTGCACGATCACTGGGCTGCTTACGCACGCTCTTATACTACTTCCAACCGAACATTCCCATTACTTAATGCATTCAGCAGGGCAGGGTGGATGGTGACGTAATTGTGAAACTTTCTATTGAAACTGAATGCATTATCGAACTGAATAGTAATCGATTATACTAATTTTAGAATTTCTATTCAAAGCGTGGACTGAGTCAAAGCAAAATAAAACTCATTAAAAATCAAGAAAGTGAAATTATTTTTCGACATTTTTCATTACGTTTTGATTTCCATCGTTATTAAATAAACCTGACAATAATTTCCTCTGGTACCCTAAAGTTGAGCCGAGGAATAAAGTTTCTCCCATTGAGTTGTAAGTGGAAAAAGCGAATGTGCGAAAGATAGCTTTTTCCAAGTTGGCACCAGACGTAATATTAAAAGTCTTTCGTCTGAAGTTTCTTACAAAGGCAATGCGAGATATGGGAACGTAAGATTCTCGTTCTACAGATGTCTTGGAGCGTCTCCTTTCTCGTCGTAGCTTAAAGCGAGAGTGTAGATACGCTGGTTTACGTCTCTTCGTCGCTTTCACCGATGAAAAGAGCAGTCTTTTCACCATCCCTAAAAACTTATCC